AAACTTACCTTTGAGTGTCAGTGGCACTCTTTTGTCACACAATACTCCAGATGCTAACCTCCACTTCATCCATCCTACCCCGATACGGTGCGTAACATCCTCGTCGATCTCCCCTCCCCCTGGATAACCGACCCAAGGTACTTGAAGCTGTCTCTACTTTGGATGACCTGCGATTCAAGCCTCACATCCACGCCCACTTCCCTCTGCTCAGCGCTGAACTTACACTCCAGGTATTCCGTCTTTGTCCTGCTAAGCTTGAAACCCTTAGATTCAAGAGCTTGTCTCCAAATCTCCAGCTTCTCGTTAACACCGGTTCACATCTCATCAATTAGAACTATGTCATCCGCGAATAGCATGCACCATTAGCTTAAAAAAGATATATAATTTGTTATTCTCTTTGTATTTTAACATTAGCTTTAACCTCAAAATATAACAACTATGAGGGTGTTTGGCTAAGCAAGCTTATAAGTTGGTCAAACTGGCTTATAAGCACCTTTTTGTTTATCTATGCGTTTGATAAACACTCAAAGTGCCATAAATATTGTTACCGTGGATTTTACTTTGATTCCAAAAGTTAGCCATGAGATGAAGAGTTACAGACCGCTTATAAGCTACCAATATCTTCGTCTCTTGTCCGACTCTACTACAGCACTGGCTTGTTTACCACGCTGTCGAGGACTTGTGTACCTTAAACTTTCTAACTCATGAAGTTCAGGGTGGGAACGTTTAAACCTGTTCAGACCTCCTCCTGTAAGATGTATGTGACTAAATTGGATGTTACAGTATGTATATATACGAATGAACTTATGTACCATATTTAACATTATATTATCAACATTTATATAGTACTAGTATATATAACTGATATCTCTAACGTACACGAACCAAAGCAGCAAGAATACCAGATATAAAACCATATTTGGGATTTAAGTCTTGACTTCTAATTTACATTGATTTGTTAACTACTAAACTGAACATCCAGCAAAAAGGCTGGACCCGTAGGAAATATCCATTTTTCTTCTAATCTACTTTAGATATCCAAATCTAATCTATTCTATTCAAGTGCCACCTACAGGACAAGTCACGAAATGGATATCCCTCCACTCTCATTGTCACTGAAAACGGCTATAACACAAGAATTCTTTTTCATACTCCACGTCCACAAGGGAAGAAGAAAAGAAAGAGGGAAACAGGCCTATAAGCACATGTATTTATCGAGTACACAAAACCTATACTTACTAGTATAAAACTGAATATTTGTAGCTGATTCCTTGTTTTCTTTCTCTTTTTTTCTTTTTTTGCACTTTCAAAGAAGTATAAAGGATCAATCATCTGGAAAAATTTCGTGACTGTGAAACAAAACTTTGATGGTAGTGACCATTTTTTTCCCCTCAAGCACCCTCGATTTATCTACACCAGTGTGAAGAAAAGATATAAAGAAAGAAAAGAACTACATATATCCATCCCACTTCGTCTTCAAACGGTTTACTGCCATGAGAGCCCCATTGTGTGGTTACAACCATATGTACTCGTATTACCATTTCTTTTGACTTCCCAATGCTGTGCTGGATTTGCTTAAATTCTTAAAAAAAAATCTTCCATCAGAATCATAGTCAAAAACTGTACTCTGTCCTGGTCTATTTTCCTCATCAAGGTCCAGGAGAGAAGCTTCACCTTCTAAAGCACGAACTACCTGAAGAAATTTGTATACCGTCTTTAGCCCTTCTTTTCGTAGATGGTGCATAAAGGAATAAATAAGAAGCAAAGTAGTGGTCTATAAACATCTAGAAGAAGTCTACCAGCACCACAGAAAAGAAAATTAAGAAGGAGATATAATTTCCTGACTCATCCGTGGTCTTTTCCATGATGAATGGCGTACACAAGCAGCAGCACAAGCAACCATGTTAGCCATCTCTTCACCATTGTAATTTTGTCCTAGACATGGATCCACTAAAGAGTCAAAGTTTCCATCTTCCAATGTTCTTCTAAGCAAAGGCCTTGCCTGCATATCAGAAAGAGATAACAGTCTTCTTATGCTAGCTATGTACAAACAGGGGCGGATTTAGGGGGCGGAAGGGGTTCATCCGAACCCCCTTCGCCTAAAAATTACACTGTATATATAAGGCAAAATCTGTTGTTTACCTCAATATATTAAGTTTTGAACCCCCTTAACACAGCCCAAAAGTGTAGTTTAGGGGTCAAGGGGTTCAAAATCTTCGTAAGGTCATAGGTGCAATTCCCACTAGCTACAAAAATATTTTTTTGAATCCCCTTCGTGGAGATCCTGCCTCCACCACTGGGTACAAATGTTATACTATAAGAAAAGAGCGAAACGAGCTGACAACAATGATATGCATATCCTTGAAAGTATATTGAAGTAGAGGCCTAAAGATACTTCTAGTTCCCAAAATATTTTGCTATTTTCTTATGAGAAACGAGCAAGCTGATGAAGTTATTATATGTTCAGAAATAATTACAGCAAAACCAAGAATATGAAAACCAGAAACAAAAGTTACTGTTAATTGATTATATATTGGATATGTACCAGAATGGTTACTAATACAAAAAAATGATAATGAGGTCATCAAAATACTCTCCTTACAGAGTTGTAAAGGTATTTCTGATTTTAGACACTAAAATGACATAATTAATTCTGTCCATTTTGGCACCAATGAAGAGGGAAAAGAAATTTTAAGTATTGCATGTGCATTAAGGTGGAGGAGGTCGTGGAGGCGTTGCGTAAGATGAGTAGGGTTAGTGACCGGGCCAGATGAAATTTCGGTTGAGTTTTGGAAGTGTGTGGGTAGAGCAGGATTGGAATGGCTGACTGGGTTGTTCAATGTAATTTTTAGGACGAAGAGGATGCCGGAGGAATGGAGGTCGAGTACAGTGGTACCGTTGAACAAGAACAAAGGTGATATCCAGTGTTGTAACAATTATAGGGGTATCAAGTTACTTAGCCATACCATGAAAGTCTAGGAGAGGGTGGTAGAGGTGAAGGTGAGGAAGACGACGTCTATATCCGACAATCAGTTTGGGTTCATGCCGGGTTGCTCCACTATGGAAGCTATCCACCTTATTAGGAGGTTGATGGAACAGTACAGGGATAAGAAGAAGGATCTGCACATGCTGTTTATTGACTTGGAGAAAGCGTATGATAAGGTTCCTAGGGAGGTGCTCTGGAGATGTCTTGAGGCGAAGGGCGTGCCGGTAGCCTACATACGAGCGATCAAGGACATGTATGATGGAGCTAAGACTAAGGTTAGGATGGTGGGAGGCGACTCGGAGCATTTCCCGGTTGTTATGGGATTACACCAAGGCTCAACGCTTAGCCCGTTCTTATTTGCCTTGGTGATGGATGCTTTGACACACCATATTCAAGAGGAGGTGCCATGGTGTATGTTATTTGCTGACGACATAGTTTTGATTGACGAGACGAAGGCCGGTGTTAACGAGATATTGGAGGTTTGGAGACAGACTCTCGAGTCTAAGGGTTTCAAATTGAGCAGGTCTAAGACAGAGTACCTGGAATGCAAGTTTAGCGCTGAGTCGAGGGATGTAGGCGGGGACATGAGGCTTGGACCACAGGTCATCTCCAAGAGAGATAGCTTCAAGTACCTTGGGTCGATGATTCAGGGGGACGGAGAGATCGACGAGGACGTCACTCACCGCATAGGGGCGGGCTGGATGAAATGGAGGCTTGCATCTGGAGTCTTGTGTGACAAGAAAGTGCCACCGATACTCAAAGGTAAGTATTATAGAGCTGTAGTTAGACCGGTCATGTTGTATGGGGCAGAATGTTGGCCGGTTAAGAACTCCCATATCCAGAGGATAAAAGTAGCAGAGATGCGGATGCTAAGGTGGATGTGCGGTCACACTAGGATAGACAAGATTAGGAATGAAGATATTCGAAAGAAGGTGGGCGTCGCCCCTGTGGATGACAAGATGCGGGAAGCGAGACTTAGATGATTTGGGCACGTACAGAGGAGAAGCCTCATGCACCGGTGAGGAGGTGTGAGCGGTTGGCCGTGGTGGGTACGAGAAGAGGTAGAGGGAGACCTAAGAAGTATTTGGGAGAGGTGATCAGGCAGGACATGGCACGACTGCACATTTCCGAGGACATGGCCCTTGATAGGAAAGCCTGGAGGTCAAGCATTAGGGTTGTGGGATAGGGGTAGTAAAGCTTTCCTTACTTCATTCCGGGGGTGAGGTGGGGTTGGATTAGGGTTGGTCTTAGATGGCTTGCAGTTTATGTTGGACCCACACTATTCTTGTTGTTTGTCTTAGCCCCGGGCCTTAGATTATGGTTACTGTTATTGCATGTTATTCATCTTTCGGTTTTTATGTGTATGTTACTATTACGGTTTCTATTGGAGTTACTAATGAATTCTCTCATCTTGTTTTTTTTTTACTTTATTTTCATCTTTCTGAGCCGAAGGTCTATCGGAAACAGCCTCTCGGCCCCTATCGGGGCAGGGGTAAGGTATGCGTACACATTACCCTCCAGAGACCCCACTATGTGGGATATTACTGGATAATTGTTGTTGTTGTTGTTGAAGAGGGAAAAGAAAAGGGAGGGAGAAATGGCGACAGAATACTGAGGCCATGTCTGGATAGAAACAAAAGGCTATGAGATTTATTAAACCTTCATATAACTAATGGTTTGATCATACATTACACTTCTGGACGAAACGATCTTGCGACACTATATTTCCTTACAACTCAAGAATGGCAAGCATTAGCTGCTAGAATCTTTGAGACCCATTAAGATATTTTCCCTGATCTAGGACGACGACGCCCATAATGGCAACTGTGAGAAAGAGTTTGTGAGGAAGCAACATGCAAGAAGCTCCCAATGAAATCCTTCTTCCTGAACTTAATTTAGAATTAGCTTATGTAATTAATTGTGATAAATTGAGGGACTTAAGCAGCATTAGCAATAATAATCCTGTGGAGATCAACAAATTTATTCTAGGAACTCCATATCTAAAAACTTTCCAAGAAAAAGAGTTAAACTGATAGATGTCATTATTGCGGATTTATGGTAAACTCCGTGATTTAAGGAGAGAATGAGATTTTGGACAATCTAATAGTAGTTGCAAGAGATGCAACAGAAAATTTTGAGAGCTTCCATCCTCAAAGGGGGTGTGTCCAGAAGCCAAATCTTTTTGGTACAAGGATGACAAAGTTCTTCTGATTTCTTCTATGATGGCCTTGTATTTTTTGCTTTGGCTTGACGCTGATGAAGTTTTAAGGAACACTAGTTCCTTTGGATTTGCTCATCTGTTTCGTATAAGGAAAAAATGTGATTTTAAGGCAGAGCTTTTTCTTCGTTTCTGTAAGAGGCTGATTTCAAGTGATACTGACCGCTGCCATCGAAAACATTCTTGACCTTTATCACTCACAAAAAGGGGCAAAAAAGGAAGAAAAGAAAAGAATACCCAGTTGCTTCTAAAACCACCAATAATAGACCTTCCAAAGGATCAAGAGATATTCAGAAAGGCAAACTTATGGCACCAGTGCCTTGAAAAAATTACAGTCGATAGCTTGTTTAGGATAAGATTATAGCAAGATGAAAGTCATTCCATATTGAAGATATGATTAGTTTACCGCAAGGCACAAGGTAGTCGGACAGAGTAAGTTTCAGCATTATGTTATCTAACAAGTTATGAAGTTGCACATATGCTTTTTACTCATCCATCTAAATGCACATAAGTGTGTTAGGCGCTTAAGAATGCTGAACAGCGATCAAGAATATGGAGCATTTCACATACCCAGATGACCAAACTGCTGCATGCTGAGGATTCAGTTGAGATTATAGGCGGACGCCCTGTAATTAACTCCAGAAGCATAACCCCAAAGGAGAAGATGTCCGACTTATCTGAGGCCTTTCCACTCTGTGCATACTCTGGGGCCAGATACCTTCAAGACGTCGGTTAGTAAGGAAAAATCAAGGCAAAAGCAAGATCTAAGAATGCCAAGACTATCAGACACGTGAAAACAATGGTTAAAGTCCTATGCACTCTCTTCAAAATTTTATCCTCAGAGTGGCCGGAAAATCTCTGTTGTTACTCTGAGAGGAATAACTGCATCTTGAGCAGGTTGACCATAAATCAAGGTCATCCATTTCATCAATGTCTTTACAATTTCCCATTTTTGAGAGTCCTATTCTAGCTCAATTTTCTGTTTGTATCTGATCATGATATCAGTTTGCAAGTTAATGGAAGCAAAGTGACAGCAATACTGAAATTATAGGAAGGGCATAGACTATGCTAAATATCAGGTTCAGCAAAGAGAACAAATGCTAGTAACTTAGGACGAGAGAAAGTACAAGTTTTTACTTGATAATGGTAGCACAGACTTGTCCACCCAGTATATTGACCAGTACATAGTGATAATTTTGCTTCTTCTATGCTGATCTTGTCAGATCTTTTTATTCATTGTAGCAGAGACAGGGCCAATGAAACTCACCCGAAAGTTCCCACCACTCTAGTGGAGACATGACTAATATGGTGGTTTGAATCAGATAAGAACTTGGCAAGTCCAAAGTCAGCAACCTAGATACAAATCAAAGTTTTCCATTCATGTTAATGAAGTTATATACATACTTTGTTGTCACATGAAAAAAGATAAAAGAAACAAAAGAAGAATCAATAATGCAGTTGAATGTTGCAGCTGTATAGATGCTCATTGGAGTCAAATTAATCTCATCATGCAGATTTTAATATTCAAGAGCAAAAAAAACATTTACATCAACAGCCGATTCTAGGTGCACTCAGAAGCCAGTTGTAGATAGAAGAATGCAGCCTGACCTTTTTTTGACAGTAACGATAGAATACAAACATAGTGGCAACACCAGAAATTGTTATACAAAGTTACCTTAGCTTCAAAGTTAGAATCAAGAAGAATATTAGCTGCTTTGATATCAAGATGAATGATAGTGGGGTTACCTGCAGCCACAAGTTTGTATCTTCAAACCAAGATTACATGTGATTGCTAAACCAAAAGAAGTGATATTTATTCTATGTAAATTTAATTTAAGCAATCATAATCGAACTGTCCCACCATTTCATGTTATTCATGACCACTTGACAAAGCGCAGAGATAAATTGACTTCTATATTAAATTGGTAGCGGTAGGAGAAATTATATAATATATTTGATTTCATATTTGACAGGAAAAAATTTAGCTAAATTTTCTATTGTTTGAGGACATTGAGTTACTCAGATTATGATTGGACCAAAAAGTATAAAGTCTTTGTATATAAGTGTGTCAATTATTCTGGGACATTTCAGAAGGAAACATGACACATAAAGTGAGATGGAGTGGGTACAGTTTCTCCAATGCATATTCATGTGAAATCTTTGACAAATTAAGAATTATGACCGGCTGCTACCCATCAGCAGGCCGTAGAACCTAGGTACCCAAACCTCAAACCTTGAAGAGATTCAGAACTGAGGTGGTATTTTAGAAGAGAATCGATGGTATCTATTGGGAGGAGAAAATTAGATTTACATCTTTTACAGGAGAAAAACAGAAGACAAAGATGTAATGACTATAAAACCATTTATGCCGCCCAACTCGTCAGTCTACAAGCACACTGAGAAGAGTTTCCTTGGTAAACATGTTTAAAACGGTAAGTGGAAAATAAATGGGTAAAGGTGAATTCCATAAAAAAAAATTGGTAAAGGTAAAAAGCAGCCAAACGATTTATTTTACCCCTTTGGACACCTCTAGTCAACTAGCACAAAAAAATGCAAATTAAGAACATCGGAGGCCAAGGCAGAGATAGAGAGCAGACTCACAGTCTTCATGCAGATATGCCAATCCTTTGGCTGATCCTATAGCAATTTTTATTCTAGATGCCCATTCCATAAAGGACTGTGCTGCCCCTGCATACCATACAATTTATTTTCATAGGCAGCTTTGTAGAAGGACACTTATATCGGAGGAACCAATTAACATTATTACATTTGATATTTAGAAGTGACTAAAGAAGTATAAACTGATACAAGAGTTAAAACAATTCTTTTTTTAAAAATACATGTATCAGGATGAATAGGAACATCCATTACACTAAGCATTAAAATTACTGATGTAACAAATAACACATCTACTGCATGGAACCACGGAGGATACTCCACCAAATGTACTCACATAAAGAGTGTTAGTATAAACCATACTAATCTACGAAGATGTTGGAAAAACAAGTGACAGATACCACAATGAACCAAATTTATCTAAACTATGAGAATTATGTGGAAAATTGCAATTGAACTGCAAGGATAGCTGAAGATATCAAAGGACGGTCTTTCCAAAAGGAGAGAAACCGCAATTCTATAACATGCAAGATTATGGGGCTTCAGAACACAAAAGTAGAATGGATTTGCAAGCTCTTCTATTATCTTCTCATGTTAAAAAGCATGTTTCATGTAATTCTAGGCCACCCTCGTGTGTGGTAAAGTCATAGACCACCAAGGAACCTACTTTACAAGGCTCAGTTAAGTAACCCCTTAAAGATTGTCCATTTGGTATAGACCTTTTACCTCTTGAGGAGTAAGTGTCTAACAAGCTTTGAAAGAGAAATACAGAGAAAGTAAGCTGGAATAAGCTAGTCATGTTAACATAGAGTTTATTTAAGCCCTAATTATCATATCATATTAGGGATGTCTAGGCTTCTTCCATTCAATCTGTTGGTGTATAGATATTAGCAGAATTAGAATAATGAATTAAGCTGGTCACAAAATCTTATTGACACACTAATTCCTCAAACTTCCAGAATTAAGGAAAAAGAGAACATACCATGTAAATGATATTCTAAGGTCCTGTTGGGAACAAATTCATAAAAAAGCAACCTCTTTACTCCTGTCATGCAGTATCCAACCAAAGAGACAAGATGTTTATGGTGCACTCGGCTAATAGTCTCTACTTCTGCTTGAAATTCACGCTCCCCTTGATGGCTACCAATCTTCAACTGTTTAACTGCTATCTCTCTTCCTGTAGGAAGGACTCCTTTGTGCACATACCCAAATCCACCCTCACCTAGAAGGTTGGACGTAGAGAATCCACTAGTTGCTGACCACAGCTCTTCATATGTGAAATTGCCACCCAAAACAGCTATGTGGTCTTTTGGTGAAAAACGAGTTTCAACATCTAAATTATTGGAATTGGAATGAGCATTGTTGTCAAAGCAGTGAAGTGGGCGGAAGGGTATCACTTGCTTGGGGGAAACAGGAGAACCATTTGCTGCATTATGCTGTTTAAAACTTTGACGCAGATCATGGTACAAGTCATCTGATGAATCAATCAAAACAATTATCAAATGAAAATACCAAGCTGAACTCATATTTCTTGGTGAACATCAATTTTGAATGCATTTTGATAGATTAAGCTGCTAATATTTATAATCAAATCCAATTCCAGAAAATGCAATTATATTTGAAATCAATGAAAACAAATCTAAGCAAAGTAGCCTGTCTAAACAAGATTTAAGCATTATAGTTGGTTAGACGTGAAGTTTCCCATTTAGGAGATTAATGTACCAAAAGTCACACTTCTGGAAATGATAACTTTGGTTTTGAAAGTACCTTTTACCAGACATTAAAACCTTCCACTTCTTTTAGATTATTAATGGTAGGGGCTTTACCCTTACATAATAAAAAAGAACCTCAAAATTTATCCCTTCCCTCCCTTTTGGTAAACCGTCTGACTTTCCATCTAATGAGACAAAGGTCATGAATAGAGACTGTTAAGAATGTGGTTGCTTGTAGTTTAGCCTTTTTTTGTCTAGTCCGGATAAAGTTGACACATTTTTATATTTAAAAACACTTCAGTTTTAATACTCGTATTTTACTCTTAATAATATTGTTTTATAGAAATGACATGATATGTTTAAAGCCATCAGATTCTAAGTATACTTCTGGTATGTTGCACATAACTGCTGTCTGTCATGATGAATTTAGAGAGAAAAGTCCCTATTTTTAGTAGTAATTTTGTATAAAAGTTGCTACTAATAAAATGTAATAGGAAAGACTAAAAAATTTTGATCACTAAATTTTCAATAGCTGAATGTAGAGGTAATAGTCATTACTTAATCTGGAAATAGGATTAGAAATAATTTGTATCCCTACTATATCATAAGACAAGAATAATATAATGAAATAGCTACTAAGTATTAGATTATCTTCGAAACAGCAAAAGTTTGCCATAAAAACTAACAACTCTGGACGTACATTTCTTTGCAAAATGTCAAGCTAACAAGGAAATAAACAACTGCAAATAAATAAATAACTAAAAGCTTGATGAGTACAGAAAAAGAGATCCTAAAACAGGCAGAGGATTTGGCATGATAAAAAATATTTTCAGGAGACTTCCTTTATTTATAGGTCGGACGTTTTCTTTTTCAAATATTATAATTTTTACTATATATCACTTATTTCAAATAATAACAAATTAAACAAAATTTTATTGATCATGATATATTAATATGTAAACCGGTGACTTAACTATATTCAACCAAACAGCAAAAAATAACTAAAATTTTATGTGAAGTAACATATTTTCCTTCGTACCATGCAGAAAGAGCTTACCTTTTTGCCGTGGAGATTCATGATCGTGTAATTTTCCATTTTTAATCTTATTCCTGTAACAAACGAAAAGTATTACTACAGCAACAATGAAGAAAGCTCCGGTGATGCCTACAGAAATTCCAATTACTCCTCCGACTGATGTACTTGACGACGAGTGAACTTTAAGCGGCGGCGGCGGCGGCGGCGGCGGCGGCGAGGTTTCATCAGAAACTGGTGTTGACGAATCATTTGCAGGAAACGAAAACGCCGTTACTGGAGGCGGCGGTGTTGAAAGTACCGGAATAGGCGTAGGTAACGGAGGAGTAAATATTGCCGGCGGTGGTGGTTGTAAAGCTACTTTGTAATCAATAGGCTCAAATATTGGCTTCGATGCCACGTCCGTGGATAGTGGAGCCGGCGATGGCGCTGGTTGTGAAAGTGAAAAGTTCACGACTGCTGGCGGCGGTTTAGGAGTGGCTGTTGAATATAGTGGTGGAAAAGTAATACCATTTTCACCTTCCGGCTGTGGAGATGCGGGAGAAGGTGAAGGTGACGGTGGCGGTGAATGTGAAGGCATTGGAGTTATGGAGTGGAATGCATGGATAATTAAGAAGATGATTAGTAATTAACATGTATAGTTAGTTCCTAATACAACTGCTTAAGTAGTGGACGTGCGCAAGTACACTACTACTACTACTGTGACCTGCATCACAACTCAAGTGCCTTTTATTTGTTTGTCATTTCTTTTTCTTTTCTTTTTTCGTCTTTTTCTCTTCAATCTTCATTGAATAAATATCAAATTTTGTTTTGCCAGAAAATTGGTAGTTCTAATAGACTAAAGAAATTTATTGGACATAAACCCGGGAAAGTTTTCATTTATGTTCTTTGGGCCTTTGTATAGTTGTGCCTCTTTTCCTTTCTCTTATACTGGAAACCGACACATGTCCGGATATTATTGATTATTGGACTACACTGTACATACTAATAGATTTGATTGAAGTCTATTGAAGATATATATCATTTTTTCTCTCTTTCTATTTACCCGACGGTTTCTTAGTTTCTCTCTAACACCGACTAGAACCTAGGGTTTTCTCCTCTCCATTCATGGAGATTCAATCTCTTCTTGCAAGTTAACATGGTATAAGAGCAATGATTCCTGGCGTACTCGACGAGCTGGTTCATCCTACCGGTTCAGTTTTCTCAATTTTGAGTTTTTTCGTTGTATTCGATGGGATCTGGTTTGCGATTTTCCGAGGAATTTGGGCCTTTTCCGGCGTCAATTGAGGATAATTTCAGCATTTCCTTGTTCTAAGTCAACAAGGCTCTACTCCTTCGAGTATTGTGAAGGAGATACGATACTATTTGTTCATCCCTTGCTAAATGGGTTTTGTGATCTAATTGAACGATTTGTGAAACTGCTGTTTGTGTAATTGATTTTAGCTCAAATTTTCTCTGTAACCTGTTCTATACGTGTTGTAGTTTTAAGTCCCAAAATTTGCTCTTAATTGTTGTTTCAAACTATGGGTACAGAATCGATCACTTCCTTTCCTATCCTTCAGTCTCCTCCTACGCTTATTGACTCTTCTCATCCTCTCTATGTTCATCCATCAGATAATCCTGGTGTTCTGTTAGTGTCAGTTCCCTTTTCAGGGATTGGATATAATTCATGGAGAAAAAATGTTCTAATTGCCTTGTCCGCTAAGAATAAAGCTGGGTTGATCAATGGTAGAATTCCACAACCCTCACCTACTTCTCCTCTTTATGATTACTAGGTAAGATGTAATGACATGGTCTTTGCTTGGCTAAGCAATTCCTTATCCAAAAGATATCGTAGACAGTGTTTTACACTGTGATACTGCAAGGGACCTATGGAGGGATATAGAAGAAAGGTATGAACAATCTAATGCTAGTAGGTATTATCAAATACAAAGGGAAATTGTAGGGGTATCTTAGGGTTCTTCCGATATTACTAGTTACTACACTAGGATTAGGAACTCTGGGATGAGTTGAAGACTGCTGCATTTGGTCCAGCATGCACTTGTGAGGCTGAGCCACAATGCAGTGATGGTCAGAAACTTATTCATTTCCTCACAGGGTTGAATGAGACCTACTCAAATGCTAGGAGCAATATCCTTATGATGTATCCTGTTCCAACTCTAGGTAAAGCTTACTCCATTCTTCTTCATGATGAGAGTCAAAGAGAAATTCAGCCATCTGGTGGTTCATTTCTCTCAGAGTCAGCTTCCTTTTCTGTGAAATCTACACCTTCCCCTGCTCAGTTCACCAATGGTCCTAAATCCTTTCCTCAGAAAGTCTTGACATCAAAAGGACAACTATTGTGTGCAAATACTGTAAAAAGACTGGGCATTGTGTTGACAAATGCTACAAACTTCATGGGTTCCCAAGTGATTTCAAGTTCACAAAGGGCAGAAAGTCTGTTGTTTTTGCTCAAGTTGACACTTCTACATTAGAGGATCAGCAGTTTTCTAAAAATATTACCAACAATCCTATCCATGGGTTCAACAAGGAAACTGGTATCTCATGAGCTTATTTCAACAGTCTCACATCTCCCCTTCTCAAGATTCAACTGGCAACACTACTGCAATGACTGCTTGTGAAGGTGCGGTCTGTAGTCTTGTTGTTTACTCTCTTGCTTTATGTTGTGCATCACAACTAAAAATCAACACCTGGATTCTAGACTCAGGTGCAACCAACCATATGACACCTAATAAACACTTGTTACACAACATCCAAATTTTGCCTTTTCCTTATCTTGTCACACTTCCAAATGGTTATAAGGTCAAAGTTCATTGCACTGGTTCTTTACAACTATGTGATGATTTGATTTTATCAAAAGTCCTCTTAGTACCTTCCTTTGAATTCAATTTAATCTCTGTGCCTCAACTAGTTGATCAACTTACTTGCATAACTTTCTTCATCAAAATTTTCTGTCATTTACAGGGCCCTTCTCTGAGGAGGCCATTGGAAATTGGTAGAGCAGCAAATGGGCTTTACATCATTGATTCTGCAGCTACTCTACCAGCACCTACATCATCTATACATAACATCACAAATAAAAGATCAGTCAGTTTATCAGAGTCTACTCTTCTTGTAAATAACATTTCAAATAAGGCATTAGTTACTTTGTGTAATTATAGTGCTTGCATTTCTACCTGTAATCCTGATTGCCCTATTAATAAAACTGATCTTTTCTGGCATCAAAGACTAGGACATATTCCCTTTCATATAATGAAATCTATTGACTTCTTATCTGATAAGTTGTCATCTAAACAATCCTTTATTTGTCCTGTATGTCCTTTAGCCAGACAATAGAGACTCCCTTTTATGGATAATTCTATTAAATCCACTACCTTTTCAATTAGTATACATTGATCTATGGGGTCCTTATCATACTAGAACATATAATGGTTTCAGATATTTTCTAACCATTGTGGATGACTTTTTAAGGGTAACATGGACACACTTACTTTCTTGTAAAAACAATGCTTTTGATCTCATTAAGGCCTTTGTTCTAATGGTCAAAACTCACTTTAACCTTCTTGTACAAACTATTAGGTCAGACAATGCCTTTGAACTTGGCTCTAGTGCCAAGGCTTCTTCCTTCTTTGCTGAGTTTGGTATTCTCCACCAAACTACCATTCCTCAAACTCCTCAACAAAATGGTGTGGTTGAGAGAAAGCATATGCATCTTCTGGAAACTTCTAGAGCATTACTATTTCAATCCAAGCTTCCAATTAAGTATTGGGGTGACTGTGTGCTCACAGCTACCTATCTCATTAATAGATTTCCTTCCACTATCCTCCAAAATCTCTCCCCTTATCACAAACTACATGGCCATCCACCCACTTATGCTCATCTAAGAACCTTTGGCTGTCTATGTTTTGCAACTATACCAAAGGTCAAGAGAGATAAACTTCAGCCAAAACCCTCCCCTTCTCTTTTTGTGGGGTACCCTTTAGGAAAAAAAGGTTACAAACTATTGGATCTAGCCAATCATTCCATTTTCTACTCTAGGGATGTGGTCTTCCATGAACACATTTTCCCTTACCACTCATCCTCACCTCCTTCTGGCTTCCCTGCCATTTCTGATCCTTTTGTGGACTCTCAAGCTTCTTCTTATTCTCCTCCTTCTTTTGCTCCTCCTCATTCTCCCATTCACTCCTCTCACCTCTTCAGTCAGTCATCACATTACTCTTTAAATCAGTCTTCTTCTCATCCTTCCTCTCCTCCACTCATTCCTACTGCACAACCTCCCCCCTTAAGAAGTCCACCAGGGTTTCCCATGCTCCAACCTATCTCAAGGGCTATATTTGTTCTTCTGTTCAGCTCTGTGCCTCTTTACCCTCTAAATCTCAGTACTATCAGCAAGCCGCACCACATCCTGCCTGGCAGAAAGCCATGGAAAAGGAATTTCAGGCCTTAGATGCTAACTCCACATGGGACATTGTGCCTCTTCCACTTGGGAAAAAGGCAATCCCTTGTAAATAGGTGTACAAAATCAAACAAAAGTCTGATGGTTCCATTGAAAGGTATAAGGCTAGATTACTAATTAAGGGTGATTCTCAAAAGGAGGGCATTGATTATTTTGAAACTTTCAGCCCTGTTGTTAAGATCACAACAATCAAATGCCTCCTTACCCTTGCTATTAAACACAATTGGAATGTACACCAAATGGATGTCAATAATGCCTTTCTCCATGGTGATCTTAATGAAGAAGTTTACATGAAGATCCATTTATGTCTGTCTGTTGCATCCACCTCTTCTGATGTTCCTTTAGTTTGTAAATTGAAGAAATCACTTTATGGGCTAAAGCAAGCTTCTAGGCAATGGTTTGCAAAGCTTTCAGAGTCTCTTGTTTCAAGAGGCTACTCTCCTAGTAAGAATGACTCCTCTCTTTTTACTAAAGTGACTCCAACTTCTATTATCTTTCTTGTTGTTTATGTGGATGATCTTCTTTTGGCTGGCAATGATGATGCTGAAATTCTAAGCCTGAAGTCCTTCCTTGATCATCAATTCAAGATCAAAGACGTTGAGAGTGTCCATTATTTGTTGGGCCTTGAGATTTCTAAGGTGGAACAGGGTTTTCTTATCAACCAGCAGAAGTACACAAAGGAGCTCCTTTATGAATTCTATTGTTCAGAGGACAGACCTTCTCTCACACCCCTTGATCCTCATGTCAAATTATCTGTTGACTCAGGGGAAGCTCTTCCTGATCCTACTGTCTATAGAAGATTAATTGGCAAACTGAATTTCCTTCAACATACCAGGCCTGACATCTCTTATTCAGTGCAGCATCTCAATCAATTTCTTATGTCTCCTAGAGTTCCTCACATGGTGGCTGGTTTATATGTTCTCAAATACCTGCTCAATGATCCTACCCAAGGCATTCTGCTGAGTGCTGCCCCTAATTTCTCCTTAAAGGCTTATGCAGATTCTGACTGGGATGCTTTCCCCATTTTCGACTGGGTATTATGTGGTTCTTGGTGATTCACCTATTTCCTGTAAATCTAAGAAACAACCTACTATCTCTTTTTCTTCTGCTGAAGCAGAATATAG